ACCCTTTCCTCTCCGGATAAGTAGTTTCTAGTGTGAATTGGGACTTGGAGAAATACACTCGATAATGTTTGTAACAAGATGAAGCAAGGGTTTTCCTCTCCCACGGCCTTTGTAGAAACTTACCTCTGGACCATTCCTCCTGAAATTGCCACCTCCAGACCATCAATCTTTTAAAAATGTAAGGCTGATTATAAGAGTATTTTCACTTCAGTGTGTGCGTGCATGTGTGCCACGCATGGGCACCTATGTGAATAGCCGTTCCAAGTAGGAGATCTTACAGACGTGACTGGACGCTCTGGCTATGCAGGAACGAGCAGCTGAGCCGGGTCCTCAAAACCAACCCACGGCCGGGCGTGGTGGCTTGTGCCTGTAATCCAAGCACTTTGGAGGCCAAGGCGGGCGGATCACCTGAGGTCGGGAGTTCAAAACCAGCCTGACCAACATGGTGAAACCCTGTCTTAAAAAAAAAAAAAAACAGCCCGGATTCCGCCCGCTGGCGTCTCGGCTGTGACTGGCTTTGGGAGGTTTGACACCATGCTCTCCTTTGCTTCTCCGCTCAGTTCTGATGAAGACCACTGAATTGTGCTCCGGGTGGCTGGAGAGGGTGGAATTCTGGGGATTCGGGGCCTTAAAAGTTGAATTGGCAGAGGTTTGGTTGAGATGGTTATTTAAAACTAAGTTATAATTGAGTTAGAATATGAGACATGGGGTCCTGCTTTAGGAGGGGCATATTCAAGGTATTATAGTATATTCAAGGTATTACTATAGTATAGCATTCACCTGCCCCTTCCCTGGCCTGCCCCAGGTCCCTGTGCAGGGCCATGCTGACCCCCAGGGAAAGCTTGCCCCTGAAGGGGTTAGAAGTCAGGGCCGGGTAGAGGTTTTTGGTTTCTGTGTTTTTACTCACAGAGAAAATGAGACTGATTACTGGTTTATAATAGATTAGGAGGCTATCATTTCCTTTGTTCCAAAAAATAGACTTTTTTCTCTGTCATCTTCACCGTGCGTGGTGACGTCGCGAGCTGTTGGTGCTCCTTGCAGTGTAGGGGAATGTGCCCACTTCCTGGGGCTTCTGCAGCAAATTCCCACACACCTTCCAAAATTGTTACGGATAGGAAATAGGTTCTTACTTAGGTCAGCTCCCACGTACGTAAGAAGGTTGCTACAAACGTATGAAGGAGCCATCATGGCTTGAAATGCCTGTTGACACCTGCAGTCACAGAATCCATTTGGACTCGGATTTGGACTCACTTGGGCAATGAGGCACAGAGGGCCTGAACGGCCAGGACCCGCCTCTCTCAAAAATCTACACCCTGTCTGCAGGAAGCGCTTGTTTTCTCATCACGAAAATCACATCACTTTAGACACATCACCTCCGGTGTTTGTTTTCCTAGTAGACGTTTGGCTTACAGGAAATATGTTCATCATAAGGGAATATTTTATATTTTTCAAATAGCAATATCAGGTCTCAGAAACAAGCCTTTTATTTGAGTAGAAATTAGTCCCGAAATTTCCCAGGCCAGTGTGTACTTTCTGCGCACAACCCTGCGCCCCTGTATGACCTGGAGATGTTTAAACATCAGAGAGTTGAGTTGAGAAGGGAGAGAAAAGGGAGGATTTGGAGTCCCGTCTGCTGTCCCTATTCAGGGTACACCTGTGGCCAATTTGATGTGACGGATGAACAGAGCGGATGCACCATCACCAATGGGACCGACGTGGGCACAGGCTGGCACACGGGACACAAAATTCCTCCTCACACTTACGCTGCCCCTGCCCTCTAAACCAGCCTGGGAAGTGGACGCAGGGTCGCTGCCGCTGGGTTATCCCCTCCACGCACTTAAAGCAAAGTGATGTGCTTTAAATATCAGCTTGCCCTCTGCATCCGAACCACCTCATTTCTAAGACACAGCATTGTGCTACCCACCGCAGGAAGGGCTGCCCACGCCGACTGGAAGATGCAACGGGTCCTGGCGCTGTCCCTCTTGGAGAAACATTAGCATGAAGAAAATGCAGCTACGATCAGTAGCAACGGCAGCTGAATCGTATTTAATTAGTTCTTAATGCTTAGTGTTTTGTAATTAGTGAAGAATATAACTTTATATTAGCATAGAAGCTAGATGTAAAAAACATATGACATGGATCCGTAGCTGAGGAAAGACTACCGGGAAATTATTTCTTTTTTAAGTTTTACTGTCTTCTAAAATTAACTGGATAGATAGGAAAAGTGTACATAGTCAGCTGTCTTTGGCTCCCTCTGCTGAAACAGAAATGATCCACTTTAACTGTGTTTCAAAAGCAGTCGCTGGGTGCCAGGCACTGTGCCAGGTGTGAGGGGTAAGAGGGTGTGTAAGGCATGGCTCTTGTTCTCAGGGAATTCACAGCATCACAGGGAGGTGGACAAACCAATGGGCTGTTCCGTGAGTTTCTGTAATAGAGACACATGAAAATCCGTGGAAGGTCACAGGCGGCTGGGAGCCTGGAAGCCATGGGTGGTGAGGTCAGAGGCCCCGAGGAGAGGCTCCAAGAGGCTGAGAGTGTTTATTCCAGTCCCAGAAAACTTCCTGTCCCTCTCCATCTCTAGCAATGCTGGGAGTCAGTTTTTTCCTACTTTGCTGCATTGAAATCTCACGTGTGTTTTGCTCTGTATTTCCTCCATTCTCAGCGAGTTGGAACATCCTCTGCATTTCATTACTTAGTAATAACAGTCTCCTGGAACTCTGTGACTCCAGGTCTGGAACGCAGCGCATGGGTTTCTACACCAGTCATCCGCAGCAGAAGCCTGGCAGGTGGAGACAAAGTTACAACAAACTTAGAAGCCTTCATTGGCCGTTACTTGTCATTCTAGAATCCGGCAACACCTCTTTCTACAAAACAGAATGAGCGCTCCGATGAGCCGAGCAGAGGAGGCTGGTTTCTAAACAGACTGAGGAAAGCAGACACACAACAGAATGAGGGCGGATGGGTGGGTGGTTCCAAAGTGACTCCCCTGCAAAGGTTAGAGCAGACGGGACTTCCTCAGCATCCAGGCTAAACCCAGCCTGCTTGGAAATTGGGCTGTTCTCTCTCCTGGTTTCTCGGGAGGTCAGATAGAGATCCTCGCTTGGGCTTGGTGCCGTACTTCATACTGGGGGCGTCCGCTGGGCCCAGTGCACGGACTCCGCCCAAACCGGTGCCCTCTTCACAATTTTATTTCACGCCGTAAAGGCAACTTCCTCCCTCCTCAATGTTGTGACTTCAGTAACCCCTGTGTTTTTAGTATGTTCATCACACTAGACAGCATTGACTTGTGGAGATAATGGTGTACGCATTGGTTGGTGGGGACGTCGCCCACCCATCCCCTCCCATCTGCCCAGGGGTAGGAATGAAGACCCTGATACACACACACACACGCACACACACACGCACGCACACACACACATAAGAGGGCTCTCAGTGACTAGGAGCAGGACTGCAGGACCCTGGCTGATGTGAGCTCAGAGGGCTGGGTTCTCTCCGGGAACGCAAACACTGCAGCACATCAGTGCGTCACACTCCGTCTGAATCAGACTTCAGATCTCATGTGGCTTAATGGCTGTGCTGGGCCCCTCTGCCCAGAAGGGCTGGAGACTATGTAAAATTGAAACTATGCGCATCTTACGGTCCTGGGTTAAAGGCTCCTCGGAAATGAGAGATTGGTGTGAAAAACTGGTACAAAGTCAAGTGCGGAGACTGGGGTGGGAGAGAAGCAGCCCCCTGTGCTGCTGTTGAGTGGCACAGGACCAGCGCTGCTGCCCGCAGCACGGACACCCGCCCAGTGAAAGCCCAGTGTGACTCAGTCCTCCTCCAGAAATGCTCCCTGCCCATGTGCATTCTGAGAAGTGAGCAGGAATTCGGGCAACGTGGTTAGGATCGAAAGACAGAAATGTGAACAAGCTGAGTGCTGGTGCTGGAGCCTGGAGAGGTGTGAGCAGTGACGGAAGTGCTCGCGGGCTCTGTGGGCAGCTCTGCGCTGCCGACAGGAGGCCGCCTCCGGGAACCCTCGTTCCCAGGCAGAAGCAAGGAGGGCATCATCCACAGTGAGATGCCACGTATGTGAAGACAAAGCCGAGGGAAAAGGATATGCATGTGTAATTGTCTGAAGGTGCACAGACGATTGTGCAGAGTCTGGAAGAAGCTGGAAATGCCGGCTGTCTCCCAAAGAGAAGGCAGCATCCAGGAGACCCCGGGGTTTCAGCATATGGCCACTGTGCACTTTCCAGAGCATTTTAATCGTGTGACGTGCAAGCGTGACATTTCAAAATAGTCGAGTAGAATTGATATCACAAAAATATAAAGAAGCTGAACCGTATCTTGTCTCTGCACTGGTGATCGAACTGTGTCCTGAACATATGAAACTCAAAAAAACAAGCTCACACTAAAATTCGGGCACCAGCAACAGGCAACGGGAGGCCCCGAAGACGGGGAGGAAACTCCGAGGCCGCAGATTCCCAAAGGAGTAGAGGGGCCGTTCCACAGCGGCTGCTTCCCTCCCCTGGAATACAAAGGTGCCTCCCAACACCGGCTTCATTTTCTGCCCCCAAAAGGGCTCGATCTCCCATCAAAGTGGTCCTGACTGGTTCCAGCTAGTAGCAAAGGTGTAACTGGAGAAGTAAGGCCTGGTGTCAGCTCTGCCTCACAGTGTCACTTAGAGTCTAAAGCAGTGACTGTGGGCTCACCCCTGGAATAAATAGGATGGGGTGTAGCTAATTTATTTTACCTAGGTTGATATTCCACTATTTTTGTATAAAATTATATCAACTGAGTCAAGAAAGTGCTTAGGTGTTTAGGCAGAGAAAATAAGCTAGAATTCAGAATCTTGTGCAGGAAACCCACCTCTGAACCAAAGCTCTGTATTCTATCTGGCAAACAGACGTGAAATTGATGATCCGATAAAAAATTTATAGAGACAAATTCATTACAGTTATTTTGTTGATAAAACAGTTTATCTTAAGAAAGGGGTTTGTTGTGTTTTCTTTTTCCAGAATGGTGAGACGAACAGAGGAGAATCTGAAAAAAAGAGAAAGCTGGGTGAACTTTCGCCGACAAACTCAGAGGACAACGAAGTGTTTGGTAGGTGACACAGACGTTGGAAACGTGGCACCACATGGTGACAGCGTACACCTGCACTCTCGCTCAGGGAAGCCTTTGTTTTTCCAATTGCATGGGTAATCACAGACTTGTTCTTGTTCCTAAAAACATAGAGGCTCTGTTCATTGGCTCACACCTATAATCCCAGACTTCATGGGGTCTGTGTAAGAGGATTGCTTGAGCCCAGGAGCTCACGGCCAGCCTAGGCAACATATGAGATCTTGTGGTTTACAAAAAATAAATAAGTTAGGCAGGTGTGGTGGCATGCACCTGTGTTCCCACATGCTTGGGAGGCTGAGGTAAGAGGATCACTTGGGCTCAGGAGGTCAAGGCTGCAGTGAGCTGTGATTGCACCACTGAACTCCAGCCTGGGTGACAGAGAAAGAGCCTGTCTAAAAAAGAAAATGTAGGCTGTGTAGATATGTGGCAGATACAGCCCCGCCTCCGCCCCTGCAGTCCCTTCCCGTCGGTTTTGTTTCTGCTTACGTGCCTTGTTGCACACAGACACTCTGCCTTTCCCAGCTTTGCCTCACTGTATTCTGCTTCTCTGATCATCTGTTTGTGCAGCCCTATGTGAGCACCGGGAAGCCCAGCAGTGCTCGTAAAAAATAACTAATGAGGAAGTGAGATTACAGCAAAGCCTCGATGCTGTGGTGTTTATCTTGACCGCAGAGTGACGCAGAGGGCGTCGGGAAATAACTGTTGTCTGCAAAAGTTTACTTTTTTGTATTGCCTTATTGACTATAAATTGCCTTTACGTATTTTTATGGTTTGAATGTGTCCCCCAATTTCGTGTGTCGGAAACTTAATCCTTAAATTTCTATGTTAATTGGACGTGGGCCTTTGAGACCGAGTCACTGGGGCCTTGGGGTGGGGCCCCTGATGAGACCATGGCTTGAAGGAGAGAAGAGAGGCCTGAGCCAGCTCTCACTCTGTGTCACCATACAGTGCCACCCCCACGTCAGGACACACTTGCCAGAAGCTAAGCAGATATCAGTGCCATGCCTTGGGACTTCTCAGCCTCAAGAACTATAAGGAACACATCTGTTTTCTTTATCAATTACCCAGCCTCAGATATTCTGTTATGGCAACAGAAGATGAACTGAGACGCAATCTCAGCATTCATCTTTGCTTCTGCTTCCCCTGTGAGTGAGCGACCGTGTGCTCATCTGATGTTGACATCGATGCCTTTCCCATCCTGACACTGAGGGTCAGTGACTTGCTGAAGACCGCAGGGCTCTGAAGACACTCAGAGCAGGTCTGTTCTGCTGTGCACAGCTCTCTGATTTTCTCCATGTATTCCTAAAGCAGAGAGAAAAAGGGGTGGTGTGAAATCTGCTCAAATCCTGAGGACTCACTGTAGGTCGCAGGAAAAAGGAGTGATTTTCTGGCTGCTGAAATACGCATCCCTTTCCCCAAGATCAGCCCAGCCTGCAGGTTTCAGACGACACGCAAGGTAAACAGGCTTCCTGGCCACATTCCCTAGCCTGGTCTTTGCTTATTTATGGAAAGGCCTTTATGCTTCACTTGTTAGGCAAGGTAATTATGCCAATTTTTGTTGTTGTTGTTGTTCCTGATTAACTTGCTGTTTTTCAAAAGTCCTTTCTTTTCTATAATTCCATCCTTCTTGACAGAGCATACATAAAGTAGATGTGGTGATGCCCACCATTTCAGTATCTTAAGTGTCCATGAAAATCAACATAACCCAAAGGCCCAGAGGCTGAAAGAAATGAGGACTCCTTGACTAGAAATGAGACCGGCAAGGGCAGAAGGGATTCGGAGCTCCGCTCGTTTCTGTGTACCTCCTGATGATCTCTATGGGAATTTTCTTGGAGGCATGCCCCAGCATAACCCACTGCCTTTAGGAAGTAGGGTTTCCATCCTTAGTGGCAGAGGAAGAAGAAGCAGGAGTTGAAGGCAGCTGCGTCTGTGACTAGGAGCAGCAGCGTGCACTCTGCAGAACACTGAGGGTTTCCTAGAATAGATAAGCTGTGCGTTTGAAGGAGATGTCCCAGCCTTGATGATTTTAAGAATAAATCTGCCTCTAAAAGCCTAGAATAAAAATTCCTTTAGATGATCTCTTTACTCATATATTTCAGCTACATGTATAAAGACATAATAGAAAAGCATGAAGACAAATGTCCAATTTTAGGTTTTACACATAAATAAAAGTGAGTTCTAAAATTATTTTGGCTAAGCCTACTGATTTTTTTAAAGCAAGCATCCTCTTTGTCATTATTCCCCCTTGCTAGTTGCCTTGAAAATTATTAGTAACCATGGCAGCAGTTCCGTTATCATCTAGCACACGTGTGCATGCTCACAAACACACACACACACACACACACACATATGTGTAGGTATATATACAGCATACATACAATATAACATAAAAAGTTCTTCTACAGTCAGCCCTTTTGGTACACTATGAAGATGACATAATTCCTGAAGCCCTTCCAAACGCAGCCCTCCTTAACCTTTTTGGAGAGGTATTCAGTTTGGAGAGTTATTATTTAGGGTTGAATGTGAACGCTACTGGAAGTGATGGAAATGCAGATGATGTCCATCATTTCACAAACTTGGTTTGTCTTTTGATAGGAAGAGCAGTCCTTCTGCCTGTCGTGTTTACTGAGATGTACCCAGGTCGTCGGATGCCAGACAAGGCACACATACTGCTGAATGAGCTTAGCTCTCACATTCCAAGCCTCTCCACCCGTGAGTGTGATGAGGAAGCAGATCCCCAAGAGTCACCTTCAGGCCTTTGCAGCTGATGGCTGATTCAGGTTGAGTCAGAACAAAGGGGGAAGTGGGAGGAGCTTGCGGTCTGAGGTGTCCTCATTTCATCTGACTGTGGGGGAGGCTGGCCCGGGAGGCCTCTGTACTCCTCAATTTGTGAGCAACAATCTCAAGTGATGCCGACCTGGAGGGGCCTGTTGAGCTGTGGGGCGTTTGCTTTTGACCTTAATAACTTCCCATTCTCGATCCTTTGCTGGAACACGCAGAACTCTACTCGAAACGTGCAGAGTGCTGAAGGAAAAGCAACTAAAGTAACCTTGGCTGTTAGTCTTGACTGTAAACCTTGAGGACATATATGCAATTTCTTTTTAAAATATAATGTACTAAGTTACTCTAAATGAGAGCAGCAGCTCCCTCCCACTTTACGAAAAGGGTATTTCCTTGACAGGACACTAAGTCCCATAAGTATGTTAGGAAATCACTCTTGATATCCCGTGAGTACTAGTCATCCATGCTCGGTTCTGGGTAACTGTTTCATCCATGCATAAGAAGAATGAGCAAGGAATGTGCTTCAGGTGCAGAAAGCCATAATCCTTAGCTGACCACCTCTGCAGGACACCCATACCTGAGGTCTCTGTGAATGTCAAAAGGCAACCATGTCTGGTAAGAGGGTGCCCCCTGAGTGAAGACTGGATTGGCATGTTGAGTAGAAGTTCGTGCCAGGAGCTGACTCCGGCACAGATGCCATCACTACGGTTCACACACTGAGTGCTCAAAACCACAGACCGACAGCTAAAAACTAGGCAGCCTTCCTGCTCATCTTCGTGAAGGCCAGAGCCAACCATTTTCATAGCAGTGCACTTTGAAGTTTTATTTGCCCTCCATCGCCTGCTAAAAATCCCACCAAAGGATTGTTTTCAATCTGAGCAAATAACTCGTTAGAGCACACTTTCAGATACCTTCTGTAATTTTTTTTTTTGACAGCTTTGTGGTTATGCTTAAGACTGTTTTGCCTAGTTACAAAAGGAGGAAGAAAACATTTCAGGCACGACAGCCTAGAGAACCGGGTGTTGTCAGCGCTCTGGGGAAACAGCAGGTCATTTTGCGGTAGACCAGTTGCTGCTAAGCGTTTTCTGACCCACACACCCACAGGCAGTGTACACCCCGTCCTCCTCCTTAGAAACCAGGCGGGAACGGGGCAGAAGTCAGTCTCCACCTCTCCTCCTGCTGGAGTTGGCCAATCATGGGGCTAAACTACAGGCAGGCAGTTCAGCTGAGGTGAGGGAACTTTTCAGTCTCCCTAAATTATACTAAGGGAGGAGAGGAGTGGCCAAAAGAGGGCGCTGCTGCCCCCGGAACTGAGCGTGGTTCTTCTGAGCTGGGACGGGCATCTCAAAGGCGGGGCTGGAAGCAGGTGCACTCGGCGTCACGCGTGAAAACATCACCATCCTGCGTCTGTGTTCACTGTGTCCACCTCATGGGGCCAAGGCCTGTGTGTACAGCACGTAAGGGCAAAACCCGGTGAAGAGTCATGAGGAAAACGTTCACTACATTGCTCAGACAATGGAGATAGAATTATCGGTGTTTAATGTCTATTTTTAAAATGTTCATCCCAGAAACATTTAAGCACCTATATTCGTGTGTGTGTGTGTGTGCGCGCGTGTTTTGCTCTTCTTTATAAAGCTTGAGTTAGTTGATGGTAGGAGAAAACGCCAGGAAACAGTAAAATATAAATAAAATGGAGAAGTCTAGATGACGTGAAGTGAGACTATAGACACATCAGCTGTGGAACAGTGACTGCAGAGGGCCACACGTTTGGCTCTGAGCTGCCCAGCGGCCAAGTGCAAGGGGACCCCAGCCAGCCTGACGTCGCTCACTTTACACAGCAGGTGGCAGAGCCCCACCGCCTTCAGCCGTGTGCTTTTGGCAGTGAACTCCCCCTTTTGTGTCTTGGCTTCCCATATGTAAGCAGGGTAATCATAAAGGGCCTGTGAGTAATAAACAAGTTAATCCATGTGCACACGAGACTCTCCCATCTCCTGCCAGTAGTCTTTGGCTAATATTTTCAGAGAGAAGACTGCAGACATTTTTTGAAGGATACAGAGCTTTAACAAATGCTAAGAATTTTTCCTGCTTAAATTCTTATCACAGGTGAAGAGTCACACGGTAGTCAATGACCTCAAGGTACTTTTATAGCGCAGGCCCTGTGAGCCGCGTGGACACCAGGCCAGGTACAAGAGGCAGCCATG